GATAAATCATTATCAGAATCGCTTACTACACAAGAGTTATCCTCTTGTGGCCGTGTGTATGATGCTCCACATGAACTTGAAGAAGAATCCTCCAAAGCTTGTCGGATTACCTCCAAGTCCCCTTGATGTGCTTCAATAAATTTCCCCAAACTACGTTGGATTTCCTCCAAGTTGCCTTGATGTGCTTCTATGAATTTCCATAAATTGTAAGCACTATCAAAATGAACAAATTTGTTAGAAAAGGATGAGTCAAAAGCATTAAGCAAAAATTCTAACAAAAGCTTGTTCATTGAAAACATTTTCTTATCATGATTGCTCCACTTGGATTTCTCCAATGTGGGCACAATGTAAGCACAATCAATAACTTTCCATAAGTCAATATTTTTAGATTCAACAAATAGTTTAAATCTAGAAGCCCATTGTGCATAGGAAAAATTAATGAACTTAGGAGCAATATTTGATTCATAGCCTAAACGAAATATATTCATATTCATGATATATATATGAAAATACGCAAGCAAGATAAAAGTAATCATAACTAGATTAGCACAAATAAGATAACTTGGATCTTTAACTCAAGACGGTTAGTCCTTAAATCAAAGAGCACCAAGCTCTGATACCAATTGTTAGACCCTAGAGGGGGGGTGATTAGGGTCTTATGCTAATCTAATCCGATTTTATGCCAATTAAAACTTATTAACAAGTTATCCTAGCAAGTATAAAATACAACAATGTATATGAGCTAGGATAAGCAATATGAACAATAAGATATATCCTAACAAAGAGATATATGCAATATATGCAATGTATGTGCAATGATATATAAACTCAAGCGTAAACAATCTAAACTAGATAGTGAGCAATATAATCAACAAGCAATATACAAAGGCGATATAAGATATGAACATAAAAGTAAGTGCGCCAATGCAATCACAAACAAACAATATGATTACGGAGTTCGGTCCCCACGACCTACGTCTCCGCTCCTCACCTCGAGGAGATCTCCACTATCTCAACCAGCAATATACAAAGGCGATATAAGATATGAACATAAAAGTAAGTGCGCCAATGCAATCACAAACAAACAATATGATTACGGAGTTCGGTCCCCACGACCTACGTCTCCGCTCCTCACCTCGAGGAGATCTCCACTATCACAACCGGGTTTTCTACGTTCACCCGAACAACGTTTACACCTCACAATACAATCACTATGCAATCACACCTCACACACTAAGTGTTGGTCCTAGCCCGTGTCCTCCTCCTCAAGTGCTCGGTTACAACCTCTCCCTAGGCACGTCAACCGACGCCACTCCTCTTGGATTCGACCCCGTCTCTCACCACACACTTCTCTCGGTGTACAAGTGTATTACAAGTGAATCCTCACAATAAAGCACAATTATGACAAATGATTGTTCTCAAAATAAGGTGAGAACTCAATTAAGCTCACTCTCAATGTCACAAACCCACAACCCTAAATTATACTATGAATGTAAATACAATAAGCTCAATGGTTGTGTGTGTACAAAGAGATAAATAAAATCAATTAAACTAAACGCAATATAAATCTAGCTTATGGAAATTATAATCAAAATAATAAATTGCTAGATGAGTTTAGAAACACTTCTCTAAAGATGACAAGAGAGTGGGAGAAGAGTGAATGCTCAAACACCAAAGGATGATCTCCACTTGCTCTTGTGAAATTTGCTTCACAAACAAAACTCTTAAACACTCTTTTAAACAAACACAAAACACCTTTAAACTTGTTCTCTTGGTTAAGTTGAAAGAGAACAGCAATAAGGTATTTATACCCACTCAAAAACTCAGCCAAAACCCCTAACAAAAGACAAAAACAGCCCCAGCAAACAGCTCAAAAAAATAATCGTTGGAAGCCAACGGATACATTGACGGTCGACTGGAAATTCTGTCGGTCGACCGACGGAGAACAAAAACACGAAGGACTGTTCTGGACCATCGTCGGTCGACCGACCGACCAACTCTCTGCTGCATGGTGACGAAAGAACAAATGATCGGTCAACCGGTGCGGTCGACCGAAAACTGACACAGCAGAAAACTGATATGCTGATTTAAAACACTGTTTAAAAATATCAAATAAATTCCAAAAAATGTAAAACTTTGAGAATGATTGTAGACATGATAATAAACATGCTACGGCGACTGGTTATCAGAAAGGACCTCCCAAATGAAAAATATCATCATTTTACAAAATAGTCCAAAACATGAAAATATGAGATACTTGAATTTTGATGTTTTGACATAAACCAACTTTTGAAACTTTGTGAAATATTTTTATAGACTTAGTAAAACATGTATAAACTGATATTCAAGTCTACAAACTAAGAATACAATATTTTCACAAAATTACATATTCTATGCAATGTTTTCAAAAACACAATAGTAAATATGAAATATGTGATTTCATATTATAAACATAAAAACTCAAAAACTATGTATGTATATGTATAACTATATATATGTATAGAAACTAAAACTTATGTATATATATATAAAACTATATATGTATACGAAGAAACCAATAAATGTGTGTGTATAGATATTGAGCTTAGAGTATATAACACACATAATATAAAATCTAAAACTACGTTACCCAAGCAATCTTGATCTTCAATTAAGCTTGACTTGGTACACTTGCGGATGAAGCTTGAACTTGATCTTTAACTTGAATTGTATAGGCTTCAACCCGACATTCCGCCAACCTCCTTTGGATATCATCGTTGAAGCTCAATCCATCCAACCTCCAACAACGTTGTTTGTCTATAATACATAGGAATGCACAAACACTAGACAAACAACATTAGTAGTAAATTGTTTGTAAATCATCGTCAAAAACAAGAAGGTCAATAGAGGCAATCAAAGATGTGTAATCATCAAGACATCCTGAAATGTACATTAACAAATGAAAATTTGTACTAATATTTGGTGGTTAGGAGCAAAAGTTGTAAATTTTATTTAGGTTATCAATTGAAAATCCAAGGTAAGAACTTTTATAAGTAGTATAAACAAAAGTTGTAAATTTTATTTAGGTTATCAATTGAAAATCCAAGGTAAGAACTTTTATAAGTAGTATAAAAACAAAGGAAAATACTGTTTTTGCGTTCTTCATTTGGTTAATTTCCCAAAAATCCAAAAAAAAAGAAAAAAAATGGGTGAAGAGGTCTCCGTAATTGTAAATGATTTTCACAAAAACAATTTTAAGGGAACGGTCAAAATTTTAAGGGAATACCTAGATCCGAGAGGCGGTTGAGGTAGCGGAGGAGGAGGCGGAGGAGGCGTGATTGGCGTCGGAAGCTCTGGGTTCGAGAGGCGGTTGAGGGCCTTGAGGCGGTGGAGGAGGAGGCGAAGGAGGCTCAAACGAAGGGATTTTAGGGTTTTGGGCGGGTGGGCGGGCGGGCGGGCGGGTATAGAATGCCCATTTAGACCCGTTTAATTGGATGTAAAATGCACCCGCCCGTTTAGACCCATTTAATTAAATGAGTGGGTTTTGGACGGGCCAGATAATGGGTGGGCCAGATGGGTAAATGAGTATGGGCATAAATTGCCTTCCCTAGCATAATAGAAGGTATTGATGTGTCAATTTTAAACAATTTAGTATGTATGTATATATACATGCCAAACAAGTGAGGATATATAATTGCAACGTGATTGAAAGTATAAGGTATTTAGGTGCTATTTAGCCGATTACAAATCCACATGTCAAAATGTTAGTTTCTTCAATTCTAAATGTTTATCAGCGTGTCGGCCTGTGGAGCTCTGTCTTGTGCCATACTGAGAATATTGTAATCTATGTTCACATCCTTCACAATGAGATATCAACCTTAATGAGCCGTCCTACATATTTGAAGTCGTTTAAATAATTTAAGAAATTTATTTCAAATTTCGCGTGTACATTACCAGTTATGAACACCAAAACAAAAACCTTTTTACACCCGGGATTACACAAGGAGTTATCCCTTCCGAGAGACTTTTACTTAACTAGATTTGCGTTGAATCTAGGGACCCATAATAAATGCACACCATAAGTTTTTGGATAGTTTAGCATAATCCCCTGAACTTGGGGTGTATTGCACATAACTTCTCTAAATTTTATTTATCTTAGACAACCCTCCTGAATTTTGGAGTGTCTTACAACAACCCTCACCCCCTCCCAAAAAAAACGTCAAACTTTGCTAATTGGACTCACTATATGTTATTTGCAAATAACTAAAAAATTATTGAGAAAAAAATTCAAACTTCGTTATTTGACATTCACATGCAGTGTACTCAGTCTCCTAAGTTCAGAATTTTTTTCTCTCAGTAAAATTTTAGTTATTTACAAATTATATATAAATAGGTCCAATGAGAAAAGTTAAAGTTCAGAAGGCTTTTGTGGAAGACCCCAATTTTTCGGGGGTCCACAAGGTCCCAACAGCGAAGGAGAGACTCCCCCCACCCCCACCCTCACCTGGAAAAAAAAAACCAACAGTTGAGGTGACATTTTGTGAAATTAACCCAAAGAAAAAGTAAACCCTTTTTGTAAGCAGAAAATCATATCTATTCCTTATAATAATGAGATGATCTAAGATTCACTATTCATACTATAATGAATGCTACAATAAATACCGTAGTATTGTTATTGTAGCGCAACAGGAAGATACAAGATTCATTATTCATGATACAATAAATTACGGTATCATTATTACTAGAGCACATGTGTGAATTGTAGCGTTGAAAAACATTATTGTAGCATTATTATTATAGCTCAGCCGAGATACTGTAGCATTAAAAAAATATTACTGTAGTACTTATAAAAATTGTATTTAAGTACAGAATTATTATAGCGAAAATAAAAAAATAGAGGCACACTGGTGACGCATTAAAAAAAGCTACATCCCATTATCTATCGGAAAAGAAAGAAAGAAAAAAAAAGAAAGAAAAAAAAGGGGCA